CTCCTGCAACAAACAGGGACATCTGGTCAGGGTTTTTAGGCCTGGCAAAAGTGGGAAGCAGCTCTCTATATTGTTTTAAAGACAAAGCATGGAAGAGCACAGCAGAGACTATGAATGTGAAAAAAGAGGGAAAAAGTCTTTAAGACGACCTACACGATGGCATTTTATTAACACTGCAACACATCAGCAGAACCAGAGTTCTGATGATAGAATTTGTGCTTATGCCAGCTACACAGATTATGTTGTCAGAAATCACCATTTTTCCTGGTACTTCTGTAATTCTCAAATATCAAAAGCATAAGGAAGCTTGGTGCTTCAGGAAAAAAAGGTAATGCAAGCGTTTCCTATGAGTAATGTCCCACCTAGGGCTTTCCCCAGGGCTGGATTAGATTAAATCTTTTGCTTTCCCCTTCCGTGGAAGCTCACTCAGTGTCTGAGCACTGGCAGTTACAATGCAGGACCTTTCCCAGCCCAGCTTTGTAGGGGAGCTAGCAATGCCTTCCTGTGGTCCAGCCCTGGACCGACCACCATTTCCAGTTTGCAGCTTTAAACTCCAGCCTGGTTCTTTCACATGCAGTTTTCTTGAAATAGGCCCCATGATGCTAATAGTACTGCAAAACCTCATTCTTGCTCTTGCTCATGCCCTCTGTCCATGCAAGGCCACCTCATTCACAGTGGTGGTAGCATGGCCTGGCTCTGCAGCTCTCTGGGAATTTCCAAGGCAAAAACCAGGCTGCCTAACATCAGCTGAGGCTTCAGGACAGCCTTTGCTTAAAGAGGCCTCGGGATTGAAATGTCTGTAACCTGCTGTTTACACTGTGGTAATGCAAGGTCTTCTATGGGATTTATTTGCTACCAGGTTTTAACTGTGTGAGGTGAGGATGCCATGCAGTTAATTTCTATTCCCTGTACGGAGAGCCAGCTCTGTTCATCCCACACATACCGATGAGAGACCAGCCTGAATCAAGTTTGTTTTAGCTGTTAAATCACATTTCTCAATTGTTTAAATAGTTCAGACAGGATTTGCACAGTAACATTTTAGCTTTTTATAGCTGTCAAGAAGCAATACAAATAATTACTACGTTCCCTGGTGGGTTTTATCTGATTAAAGTGACATGTCTGCTTATGCAAGATATTTGAAAAGAGACATTCAATAAAGTCAGTAACATTTAATTTCCCTTCTCCTCCTCTTTTTTCTTTTTTTAAGCTACACTTGGTATTTACTTTAATGTCATTTTTTGAGGTATGTTTGTTTGTATTTTTTTTTTTAAAGAGTTTACATAATGGAACAATTTAGCAGAATACTTTATAGACTTGCAATGAAATATTTCTTCACATGATTGCAAGGTACTAATGTACTTTGTCTATGCTATGCACTACCATGCCTGTCTGCCATGACTGCTGCAGAAATACTGCTCGAGTTGAGGGGAGCCAAGATGGAAGCCACAATTTTCTCCACATTCAAACAGGAGCTGTTGAAGAAACTAGGACTTAATCTGGAAGATGCCCGTGGTGCGATGACCTTGGTGCCTTACATTGCAGAAGCCTTTTGTAGGAGGTTTTACTGGTACAAAACCCCCTATGATTATACATTCCTGATTACAACTTTTTAGTGTTTCATCTGTTATCCATCTTAGTATGCAGAGATATTTCCTGCAGAAGTTTTGATGCTGTTCCAGATTTCAGGGCTTGGCTCACTGGCACATAGATGGTAAAAGCAAAGAGTTTAAGTTTCATTCTTATCTTTGATTCTTAACTCATTTAGACAATGAGTTTTCAGGTCCTGCAGTACAGGTTTTGCACCAGACTCTTGCAAGAAATATTAATTCAGCCATCTCTCTTAATTAGTCTCTTGGGCTTGTGTTCTTTAGAAGGTCAGGTTGTTACAATGGTATTTTTCACTGCATGATACAGGGATTTTTAGGTTATGAACACCAGGAAGCAAAACTGAGCCTATTAAAGTCTCAAGCAAGATGGAGCAGCTAAGAGTTCCATACTTGCTGTTAGTACTATCTGGTGTTGATATCACAGAATCACGGAATTGTAGGGGTTGGAAGGGACCTCCAGAGATCATCGAGTCCAACCCCCCTGCCAAAGCAGGTTCCCTACAGTAGGTCGCACAGGTAGGCATCCAGGCAGGTCTTGAACATCTCCAGAGAAGGAGACTCCACCACCTCCCTGGGCAGCCTGTTCCAGTGCTCCGTCACCTCACTGTAAAGAAGTTCTTGCGCACATTTGTGCAGAACTTCCTATGCTGCAGTTTTTGGCCGTTTGCCCTTGTCCTGTCTCCACTCACCACTGAAAACAGTCTGGCCTCGCCATTCTGCCCTCCATATGCATGGCATAGCAAGTGCTGGCTAATATATTTTGTCTTAAACAAAAATGCAAATGGCAGGCTTCATGTCTGCCCTGGGGAGCCTTGAGTCAGAAGTTCCTTTACTAAGGGAAGCTTTGGCAAGGCTTGACAGCCTGCCTCTGGAGCCAGAAGAGATGGGAGCATCCTCGCTCTGTGCAGAGGGCAGATGTCTGCAGTACCAGCACTGGTATTACTATGTCCCTAGTGCTCCCTATCTCATGGCAGCTCTCAACATAGCCCTTGCCTTTTAGTGAGACTCTGCTCCTTTAAACTGATAGAAAATACTGCCTGGTTCTCATCCTCTCTACCCAGCTATTAAAATAGTCAGCAAATCCCCAGCTTCTTTTGTGCTTTATTTCCTTCTTTTTTATGGTTTCGGTTTAGATGTGACATTTCCCTCAGTTTTGGGAGACTGCTAAAGATATTTTGCACCATTTTAAAGCTGTCAGTGGTCTGCCTTTAGATTTCTGTGCAGATTATGTGAGACGAGTGAGGTTACATGTTTTATAGTTTCTTTCTTCCCAAGCACGGCACTTGTTGTGAATCCTATAAGGCAATACATTGATATCTTGCTTGTAAAAATGATTCTATGAAATGCAGCTTCTTATATTACTTCATCGTTACTAATGTTCATCGATTTCTACTAAAAGTTCTTCACATGCCCTAAAACACTGCATGGAAAGACACAAAAATCTACAGCACAAATGAAAAACAGTATTTCTTTTTATCAACACTGCATTTCTCTGAATCTGATTCTTGATTACACTGAGGCCATCTTAAGCTGTTCCAGAGTGTAAAAATAGCAAAAAAGCCTCAAAGGAATTTTAGGTATAATTTGTTCCTTCTTTAAGAATGATATTCCCTGTCAGTGTAATAAGAAATGGTATTGGTTTCAATGAGAATCTTCCTCTACTCTTGCAGATTTGAGGATATTTCAGAAAGGGCAAATAATGCTGAGGATATTCAATACTGATTTATATGCCACTGGTTTTAAATCTGTACATCAAAATGCAAAATACTTCCCATTGGCCTATTCTAATAATTCTACACAACCAAAGGGAGAACACAGGAGAGCTTCAGAACGGTGATAATAAGCAACTGCAGAAACATTTATCACTCCTGATGGCAAAGATTAAAAAAACTCACCATTTATTTCAAAGAGATAAGTGTGACACCTTAACAATTCTGTCTTTTCCTTTCTGCACACATTTTCATTTCAAGCTCTGACAATATTAAGGAAGAAATTTATTGGAGTTCATCACACAGCCTGAATCCTGTGGAGCCAAGGTATTTATAATGATGCCAAAGTGACAGTGTCAACAATGATTTAAATCATTTAGTCACTATGATAAACATTGTGTTATCCTAAAATTTAAGGGATGGACTGGAAGCATAAGGCACTCCCAATATGAAAACAAAGTCAATGGCAAATGGTTTGCATTCATAAAACCCATCATTACCCAAAATAAAAGATTGGATGAGAGGAACTAACAATGAAGCCGTAATATCCACAAGACTCATGATATGTCATGGGCCAATGAGATAAAGATAGATGTTCTGTGTGAACACAGAACCTACTTTTACACCCAAAGAAGTCAGCACTGCATATGACAGTGAATAGCTACAGCAGAATAGGATGAAGTACAGACAGGACATTTTTTGTCTTTCAGACAGCAACTGTTCTGACCATTATTTTTGTTGATAAAGGTTTGATGTAGATTGAATCTTGATCAACTTGCCAGATGTAGCTTAGAATAAACTGGAGAGAAAGATGTAGAAATGGAGAAAAAAAATTCAGATTTCTATCCACAACTTCTGAACTTTATATATAGGTAGAAAGAGATGCAAGAGAATGAGAAAAGGGAGGAGATGTCGCTCGAGACGCCTGAAAGAGAATGAGCTAATTGAATTGAAAATAATCAGAGAAACAAACAACAAGACAACAAAAATGTAAAAAAGAAAGGAACCTCGAAGATAGACTTAAATTCAGAAGTAATCTCTGGAGGATTAAATAAAAAAGACATTGGGAAGACAAAGCAATTAGGCCTCCAACTCAGTTTATAACATACAAGAAGGTCCTTCTGAAGAACATCATCTCAGGATCTGAGAAAATAGGAGAAAAGCACAGTGGTAAAGTGTCTTCAGAAACCTTAGAGACCTAATGGACACACTATGGTATGCTCAGTCTGTGCAGCCTTCCTCTTGTTTTCACATACCCAAAGTCTCAATTTTCTTTCTTTCCTTCCTTACCAGCTAAGTTTTTCACTCAACACCATCTGAATGGTCTCTCATCAAATCATGTTGCTCGGGCACCTCTCACCTGATCACAACACACTATACCAAAATCTTCCTACGTAGAACCTCGCAGAACCATAGTAGTCCTCACTACTATGATTCTTGTTTCTAATTTGCAATTTTTAAAAACTGTTGATTTTCATACATTTCTGAATTGGTCATTTCTGTTCAGCTTTCAAAGATGATAAAAAAAGTCTTCATGCACTGAACAAGCAGTAGGAAATTTTGTTACAAAGATGTTCGTCAGAAAATTTCTCATCCTCCTACAAGATCCTTACAAGCTCTCCAAGGCCAAAGTGTCTTAAATATTTCCTCCCTTTCATCAAATTAGCAATTAAACTCACCTCACCTTGGAAAGGTAATTTTCCATCAATTTCATGTGCAGCTGCCCAAAGTGTGATAGAAAATGCCCTTCAGCAATTTTCATACTTCAGCCAGTTAGTTGTGATTCTGAAAGAAAAAAAAGAAAAAGAAATTACTGGTGACAAGGCTGATGTGAAAAGCATTTATAAATGTACTTACAACATGGAGCTGGATTTTGTAAGACTGAAAATAAGTAGTTATTTCCACCTAACTTTTTTAGGTTGAAAACGAGCAATTAAATACAGTTGAAAGGTGTTGGTTGAATTTGGAATGAAGTCAGATTGGACAGAAATAACATAAGAAAAACAAACAGCTGTAGAGAAGTTATTCTGAGTGCATTTTCATTATGCTTGGGTACATATATGTGTGCTTGCACAAGCCTGCAGTGTGTATTCACTGTCACACACATGTTTTCATGTAGTCTTGCTGTTGTGGTCTCAGCCTCCCTTGAAGAGAGGGATCGGTGGCACAGAGGAGGTTGTGAAGCAGCTTAGGTAGGTGATCATGAGTCATGCTCAGTGGTTTAACAGAACTTTCTTCATCTTCCTCCAAATAAATAAAAACAAAATTATTTTCTAGTCTGCAGCAGATCTGTAAGGTTGTATTCAGAAACATTTACTAACAGTGGTTCAGCTCAGGTGAGTTGCCTTGGGAACATTAGAGAAGAGCCTTTTTGTTTTTGCATGACCATAAATATGCCTTCTGCTTTAAGGATATAATCCTTTAAAGATTTAGCCCATGGGAAGAACTTTAACACAGAAGAATTCCTTTAAGTGGAACTGTATGCTACAGTGAGCAAAACAAATATAATGTCGTCTATTTTTAAAACCAAAACCATGGCTCTTGCAAAATTATTTTACTTATTAAGAAATTATTTTAGTCATTAAAAATTACTTGCTGTGTTGGGGAAAATGTGGCAGAAGATTATAAAGAGGACTTTTAAAAACAAACAAACAATGGACCATTCTGTTTAAACTTCTTTCAGATGAAATGTTATAATTTTCATCTTTCAAAATATTGGTTGAATTTTGAGTGGACAGGCACAAAATGAAAACTCAGCTGTCAGCAAAAGCTCTTGTGGAGGCAGCAGTGAATGACAAAAAATGGGTCTAACTCTCGGGCTTTTTTGTCCTACTTTATGCTTTTCTTAGGTACCCAAGAAGAGCAACCAGAAAAATCATAAAGTTAGCAGTGTTTGTCTTCCCCCATCAGCAGGCTGTCAGATATGCTGGGGTGGGCAGGGCCCTGCTGTGACTGAGAGATGCTCTGTTAGTAATCAGCCCCACAGGAGGGAATCTTTTTGCTCTCCGGCTGAGGAAGTGCTGGAATGTGCATCCAAACAGCCAAAGCCACATGTTGAATGAAACAACCAAGCCTGCCAAGGAACAAACAGCATCTATCTGAATTGGGTGCTTATGGGCTCCTATACGGGTTTCTCTGTGCTGTGTACTTCTCTTTAGGTACTACCAGAGTTTAAAAATCTGACTCATGCAGCTTTATTTGTCAGGGTAGATGGAGAAGGACGGGAAAAAGATTAGTTTTAGAGCTGGCTTATCCTGAGATGATAGCTCTTTGAAATGTCAGCGCTATTGATGATGGGCCTCCTTCACCCACATAATTAAAAACATCTACTGAAATGTCAGTGCTGCCACCCAATGATCTGATGAACGGCTCTGACTGGGAGACATTCTGACACAGCACAGTCAAACTGTTGGGATACTGTGCTATTTGTCACATGTCCCCTTGTGACAAATTTTGCGTCCACAGGTGACGCAAAACTATTGAAGACAAGGACGGTTAGTCAGCATTTTATAAAATGATTAGTCTCTGTGTCTAATTGTACTTACTTAGCTAATACGTAGTGGATTCACACGATCTTTTCCCACAATTCCCAATTTCACAGAATCACAGAATCGCAAAATTTGACCTGTCCTACTGCCTAAACCTTGCTTTCTTAGGTCTGAGCAAGTGACTGGCAAAGGAGACTGTCTCTTTGTTTCAAATTGGGCTTTATTTACTGAAGATACAGAAACCTGTTCACTGACACTCAGCAATCCCTTACTCCTTGAGGACTATATTTAAATTTCCTCTTGTACTCAAGTTATAACTTGAATTACACTTTGCCTTACTGTTCTGCCATAGGAAGACTAACATAAACTGTCCTGAAGAGAACTCCCTACTAAATATCAGAAAGTATACAAAGCTTGATATACAGTTCAGGAAAAGTATGTCATGAATCTCTCCAGTCATGTTGTGCATCTATCAAAAAAAAAAAAGAAAAAGTAAAAAGTGAAAAAAAAAGTAGAGAAAAAATAGCTTTTAGTTTAGCCTGGCAAGAAGTCTTCCAGGAAATGAAAATCTTATAACTGCTGCTGCTTGTCAAAGACCTCATGAAAAAGAAATGGAAGAAAGTCACCAAAGGAAACTTGAGATGAGTTGTGGGACCCACTGCTCGTTTTCTTTTTCCTTTGCTCTTCAAGGGAATTGCTTTCACCAAGCAGTGTAAAATATCAGGGAGCTGCAGACAGCTTTCTTCTGGAATTTGTGACAGACTGTTGTAGAACAGTGTGAGATTCCATTATTATGTAAAAGATCTGGTTTCAGAGATAGCTCATAACACTGTGGGCCTATGCTGCAAGAATGAATGAGCCATTTCAGCTGTCAGTCTCAATAATTACTACACCTTCTAGTATTACTGTTTGTGGAGACCAGAGCATTTTTTCTTAAGCTTTTATTTAAAAAAAATGCAACCCCTTGCCCAAGCTCACAAACCCTAGGATGAAATACGTGCAGATTTTTCTTCCCTCAAAAGAAATGTACAATTTGAGTTTTGATCTTCTGCAGCTCTGGGTGAAATATTCTCACTTTCATATCAGAAAACACAGAGGTGTAAGAAGAGTTCCTCTCTACTTCTGTTGGACAGCTATAGTTCTCAGAGGCTTTCTAGACTAGATGAGAGAACTATTGTGCTAGACATCACTAAACATAGAGCAGGAGACTGCGTCTACAGTTAAGAGATTATTTTCTACACAGGGAAGCTGCATAAAGAGTGGCCAAAGGAAAGTGTTGCTAGCTATATTGCATGAAGAAGGAGAAGATATACTAATAATAACTCCTAAAACTCCTCATGTGGATTGAAACTTCTTGAACATTCCTTGTAAGCAATTGGGGTGATCTTGTTTCATGTGTTGGAAACTGCTTACAGCTAAGGCTGAAGACCCCTAGCACAAGTTACTAACTTGGTAGAATAAATGAAGAGAAACATTACAGTAATAATTTTTTGGTCCTTCTTATGGATATTACTATCACACAGAACCTATTCCCATCAGTTTAGACGTATTTCCTTTTCTTGCTGCAGTTGGAAAAAGCACTTATTTGTCTCTGTGCTTCTAACAGTTTGTATTCCGAACACCTGAATTTTGAAACTGGCAAAAAAGGATCAAAAATTTCCTTCCTTTTCTTGATTAAAATACTTATCTTACATATTCCCTTAATTCTAGCAAAGCAGCTGAGTCGTTCAACACAGGAAGATCTTATAAGAAGTTTTTATATAGAAAATATCTTGGTGACAGTATTGTGTGGATTTGAGTCAATTAATGTTAGTAAAAAGTTTTTGAAAAAAACAACAACCCAAAAATAAACACAATAAGCACAAAACCACAAACCACAGCCCCGCTTTTTAAATTATCAGAACTGCATTTGTAAATAAATCAGGAAAACAAAGGAACCGAGGGTATGGAAGTGTGATAAAGGCACAGAGTGCTTTTTTTTTTTTTTTTTTTTTTTTTTTTGCTAGATTAGAAAAGCACATCACTTATGCTAAAACTGTATTCCTCTCTGTTTTCAGCAATGCTTTATTCAGGGTCGGATTCATTTATGCTCCAACTCCTTTAGTTTCGCAGAACGGCTGACGTTGGAAGGAAACTCAAATCTGATGCCCTGCTCAAGTAGGGACACCAGAGTGGGCTGCTGAGGACCATATCTAAGTTTCTTCTGAAGATTTCCAAGGAGAGAGGCTACACAACACCCCTGGAGGTTTTGAGCTTATAGGAATATTTATTGCAAATACACTGAGCATCTTAACTTTTCCAAAAGCACTTCATAACCACAGATATTTTAAAAAACACAGATTTACACATATAGTTTTGATTAGACTCTAGCAAAACAAAATATAAAGTAGTATAAGCAAAGGAGTTGCCATAATGCTAGATATGAATAAACCTTCTTTCATTGTAACTGAGGAATTGACACATGGTTTATAAGTAAGCCTTGATGCCCCTTTGATCATATTTTTTAAGCTTTTATAATTTTTTTTTTTTCTGCCAGTCATCCAGGAACATAACTTTGAACCAGTGCTTTATAACCAAACTTTCTCTTATCATTGTCCACTCAAGAGGAGCAGACACAAGTGAAAAGACTGAATAGAATCTGCTTGGGGAAAATGTACAGAAGGTGAGATAGTGAAAAAGAGGAAGATTATACTAATAGGAATTACAGACGTAGTGAATGAATAGGTACAGTACTGATATGTTCAAGGAACCATAACAAAACCATTCTTTTTTTCTTTATGTATTGAAATCCATTATAGGCTATTTGCATTATGTGAGCAATAGGTTCTCAGGATGATGCATAACATGGAGGTCTTTTGGACACCTTATTTCTGCTCATCTTTACATTGCTTCAATTTCCAGTAGCAAGTGACTATCACCCCTGTGGCCACTGCAGTGGTGTTTGTACAGAAAAACAAGATTTGAGATAAAATAAAAACAAACAAAAAAACCCAAACAAAACCCTTTATATTTAGATTTCTAAATGGATTCTAATAGATAATTCAGTTTTCTAAAGAGCCATTCCAACAGTTGAATAAAGAAGAGAACATATCAAACCAGAGACTTTTCCTAGACTATCTGCATGTACTAACATAGCCTTCAGAAATATAAATAACAAAGATTTGCAAGGTTGCTAAGTGCTAAGCTGAAGGAAGAATATATTACGTGTGTTTTTTCAAGTCCCTGCAGTGTGTAGACATTTAGGTAAATGAGAATGTATTTAGAGTAATGAACTGTTTCTCAAAGAAATAGATTTAG